AAAAAAAAAAAAACAAGAAACAAAAAGAAAACAAAAAAAAAATTCAAAGCAAAACTTTTATTTTTAATTCGAAAAGGGCTTCTGTAGAACTCATTTAGCAGTTCCCAGTACTGACCCCCATGGCTTCGAATTGGATGAAAACCTGGAACTGACAGATTCCTCGTGCTAAGGAGTTCATTCCAGCTTCCTCCAAACAACAACAATAACACCCGGCTATCCCGGCCGCCAGGCGTTTGCGACACGCTTCGCCATGTGCACAATGTGCGCAACGCTTTTGCTCAAAACACAGGATCACGTTTGCACCCCTAGAAACAGGCTCAGAAGACACAACATCAAGCATGCAGTGTAACTAGGGGGGCGTGACCTGCAATCGCAACACCGGCTGCTACAACAACGCTATCAGTCCACACGCTGCTATGATCGAGAGAAACTGTCCAGTGAGGATTGGGAAGCTCTTCTTGTCAGTGGGGCCAGAGTAGGGTCCACCAGTGAGGAAGGAGGAAAGAGCTTGAACCAGCCAATCACCATGTTGGACAGGTCCAGCTCGTCTAACAGTATCTGAACTGCTCCCATGAATGATTTATGGTCCATACGTCCATAGTCACCCCATACGATGACCTGAAGGGAGAACACAGGAAAAAGAAATCAGCATTACTCAGAGTTCAGACATCTTGAAAATAGGTTGTTATTCTTAAATTGGCTCAGTGTTTCCAATTTCACTTCTGTAAGACCTCAATGTCTGAAGAAATCATTTTCCTACCTGTAAAACCTTCCCTCCCGGACTCTCCTCAAACGGCAGTTGCTGCTGGTAAAGAGGATCCAAGGTTTTTCTTGCTACTTTTGTTTTCTTTTTGGCTATGCAGACTCCGTTTTCCAAAAGGTAGACCTTTACATATGGTGCTGAGAGGAGAGGAAGTGTCACAACTTGTATTAGTCATAATTCTTGATGTTTATAATTGCCTGTAATAATCATAGTGTCAGAGCATAAATTACCTGGCAGTGACTTGGAACCTGGTTTTCCCACAAGGCCACGGGCTCTGATGACCTCCACCTCCAGTGCTCCTTTCTTCTCCACCATGCCGATCTGGATGTCACCTGGACAACGAGTCAAATGTAAAAACAATTTACAAATGGAATATGCAAAGAGATTCCAACGATTGACAAGCCACCAAGTAAATCAGCTGAATAGAGATTTGTGTTCTCACCCATAGGTGGAGTGGCCAATGTTTGACGTCCAACCAGCTGGGCGGGACCGAGGCCATCAAGGAAGTCACTGAACTGGGCGTCTGAGGAGAGCCGCACACCAGGGAAGATGAGACTGAAACAGAGGAACACACACATGGTTACCACAGAGATAAAGTCTTTACAAGACGCCACTTTAGGGCTAGCAGGCGGCTGCAGCTTATTAGATGTCAGGAGGATGAGACAAAGCAAAGACATAATGTGTATGTGCTGTGTATGGGCTCCCAGTTGGTAGCAGCTTTTATTTTGTCCCCAGCTTCTTACTTTCCCTCGGAGCTGTAGCTGTTCATGCTGCCGTCAGTGGACTCCCGGCTGGCCTGCCGAGTCATTCTGCTCCTCATCTCCACCGCCAGGCCCGTCTCTGTACTCCTCTGGATAGTGCTGCGCAACTTCTTACCGCCTGCTTCTGCAGACAGATTGACACATGCAAACAAAGAGGGAGGGAAGGGGAGAAAGAGAAAGAGGGATATAGACTGTCAATCCATGACATTGAATCCCTTTGTGACTCATGCAGCGAGCTGCGTTCACAGATTTTTTTCTGACCAGGCCTCCTCAGTCATTTGACAGGGAAAACAAAACACCAAGGACAACACTGAAATATAATTCATCTCTACAATAAGAAACGATGATTGTTTATTCTGGGAAGGTTCATTTCACAGTGACAGTCAGACGAGGTCACTAACTCATCAAGCTCTACAGCACTGTGGCTCTTTGTGCATCTGTGCAGACCTCCTCAGGTCAGTACTACCGACTGTCTACATGGGTCCTGTAGGAACCATAGTGAGTCCACGTTCACGACAGCTGATTTCCCCCATTAGCCCTGCTGCTGCTCCCCTCCACCCAGCCTCACGGACCTCGGGCTATGAGCTTGTGGCAGACATACCCACGAAGAAGTATAGTATGATTGCTTCTCTAGTCCAAACACACCTGGTGATCAGCATACACACAACACGACATACAGCATCACTCCTCTATTTTATATTCCACTCTGAGGATCAAGCAAGTTCTTGTTAAGTGTGGACTAGATATTTCACTTCAAAAGTGTCCATTAAGCTCTGCTGAACAGGTGTATTAGCAGCTGAAAGGAATATTACCTCTAAGTTTCTATATAGCAAGCAAAGACTGAACATTACTTACTATTATTCATCTTTTACATCTCTAATCAAATGAATGCAGTATGAGGGCATCAGGTTATTTCCCAGACGTCAGATAATCATAACAAAGCCAGATGAAAGTAATAACGCTGAGTTACCTTCAGTTCAACCTCCAGGTACAAAGTAAAGATGAACAATCAGCTGTTAATTCTCAGATCTCATAAACTTTTACCCTTTAATTCCCCAGTTTGAGTGAATGAATCATGTTAGGACTGCATCAATACTACTCCAGCATCACCATGGGCCCTCTCTTATCGCCTGCTGCCTTCGCTCTCCCTGCTCGTCTTGTCAGGGGAGGAGCTGAGGAGATGAGCGGTGATACTGTGTCCTATCTCACACAGGCATAAACAGACATGAAGCCTTTTCAGCTATGGAATCTCAGCTATTCAGCTGTCCCTCGCCTCCTCTTCCGGCTGTACACACATTACAATAGGAGATGCAGCCACAGAGGTCGTCTCTTACGTCTGCAGCAAAACGCAGCTGAAAGACCTCCACTGCCATCAGCAGCGAGTCAGATGTTATCAATGAAAACTGAAAACCCGCCATTTTCAAGGTAATAAACCATTTCTCCAGCTTTGTGGATAAATTCATGACAAGCATACTTATACTTTGACACATGCTGCTGATTCAAATCCCTGATATGCAGCCCTGTTATTAAAAAATGAATCTTATCAAAATAATAGCAAAGAGGCTGTAACAGACCAATCCACAAACAAACCATGGTATTGACTTTGAACTAAAGACAGCAAATCTGAAATACTCTTCCCATATGTATCACACACATGTGCACTTTATATACAGTGTCGCAACTGGATCTAAAGTACTGGCAGATGAGGTATGTGTCAGAGACGTAGAGAGTATCATCACCACTGGTCACAGATTGTGGCAGGGAGCACTTTTGAAAATTATCTTGTGAGCCTGAAGCAGCAGTAGACTAACAGTTCCACAAACTGGAATAATGCCAAAAAGGGTCATTGCCCTCAAATATCAGCATTGCCAGACAGGACAAGACAATGACAAGAGTCTAGTGGAGCTGCTCAGCTGCCAGCACAAGACGTGTGAGTACAAGTGAGCTGGAAGTTGTTGCTAAATAAAGGTGGTGTGCTCGGGGAAAAATATGCAGATAGATAAAGATATAAAATCTTCTACATCTGTGAACTCTTCTATTTGTTTGTAAATGCACCATAATAGAATAGATAGTAATAGAATAGAATGTATCATAATGGAATTGGAAGTGATTGCAGCATCTTGGGAGGTGTTAATATTTAGTTAACACACAAAAAGCGTCCTCGCCACTGGCCAAGTCACAGTAAGATAACAATGTGTGTTGTGTTTTTAAGTTAGATTAACACTACATTAAAGTACAAAACAATAATTCATTGCAGTTTCAAAATTATTGCTCTTGCCATTTACAGTGTCATATTTTAAACTCATCAAGGGCAAATAACAGATTGATAAGACAAACACAAGAAGCATGTAACAGAACAATATCACTGGCAACAGTACCAAAAACAGAAGCACTATTACTATTTCAAAAGTCGGCTTCAGTATCAGTGTACACACGGCTCAAGTGTCACATGATCCAAGCTGAACTGTGCTACCATCACAATTAAACTATCATCTTTCAAATCCCTGCACAATCAATAGCTCTGCATCTTCCCACTATTCCTACATCCATCTCCCCCCTCACTGCCATCCCTCACTCTAACCAGCACTGCTGCCTCCAGCCAGCAGCCGATGCCGGGACATTTCCCCAGTCGTCATCTTACCTCCGTCCTCCTCATCGAAGGAGTTCATGCAGGGGAAATAGACAGCCAACGCTTCAAACGATGCAGACAGGCTCATCTTGCTCTGGGAGCGTTGGATGCGCATCCCTGGAGCCGGAGCAGAGGTATCGTGCCCCTGCCTGCCCATGGTGACCCGCAGCCGATTTTCTCAATGCGGTGATTGAATCCACTAGCTTGTAGATAAAGATCTTAAAGCCAAATTTGACTTGAAATTCTAAACTGATGGATTTGATAGATTCCTAGTAGAGGATGCTGCTACGCTCCACGAGATCACGTCTGTTTTATAATCTAGTTTGTCCCCAGATGCTCTGGAGACTGCATCTTACAGCGAGCTTCAGAGAAATGTGGCTTCAGTTGCTGAGTCTTGTGCTGTCTGGTTCTGACGTTTCTGCTGCACCTCTTTTTTCAGGGAGGGGGGAGGGGAGAGAGCTGCATTGCGCTCCACCAATCACAGAGTCAGGCTGCTCAGGCGCACCTCGACTGGCTCTGCGGGTGAACAAGCTCTACCCAGAGATACTGAGCCCCCCTCCCCAGTCTGTTTCTCACCATTCAGCTTTTCTTTTTTTCACGCACTACTTTTTCTTCATTTGTGCTCTTTACCACGTTATTTCCCTCTTCTCTCCATCCTCTGCCCCATCATTGCTCTGTCTACCCATCTTATCCACAGATTACAGTGAAAACAAGTTGTTTAAGGTCTGCCAGCAGCCCTGCTTCTCTATGACAGGGCTGTAGCTACAAGGTGGTCGTTTAAAATTCACCTGTCATTCTCAACTCATATGATCTTCTTTAGTTCTCTTCCTTCCATCACGTCAGTGTCACAGCTGTGTTGTGTTGGGATGAATTCACAGAAGCTGAGCGTTAGAGAATCAAGAGGATGATCATTGTCACATACTCTGGTACACAGATGCGTAAAATCAATCATTCAATCAGGCCGGCTCTTGGTTTATGTCAAACCTAAATGATCAAACTTTTAACTCTATTTCCACTGTCTGTCGACACCTGATGTCAGGAAGTTTGAAATAGTCCATAACCAAAAGGCAAAGTAGCAGAGCTCAGAGACAAGATTTCTTCACCGATGGTCCCTGAAATACTTCGGAATCTTACAGCAAATGTCTGGCTTCACTTCAAAGTAAACTTCTGGTAAGTGTGAAATCTAGTGAAACTATGCTGCTGGGAAATTGAGCTAAAGAGCCAACTGTGGAGCCTTTGTTCTGGATCGGTATCTGGCAGAATAGGCACAGCACAAAATAATAATGGGCCCCTCTGCATTATTATAAATATAACAAGCTCCCTGTGGTGTTAGCACTGAGAAAAAAGTTTGCCTCTAAGAAACTGCAACCTACTTCCATGAAGGAGCCACTCTAATGCATGGCCATGTCCAGTTTCATCTGGGTCAACATAGCCAAACACAACACTTCACATGCTCGGCAAATGGGAAATTAAAACAAAAACATACAATTAGAAATCAAACCAATTGGTCATTCTTAATGAGTGTTCTCAGAGTTTTCAGCAGAATTCAAATTTCTGTTAATTCTAATCATGACATGATTAAGGAAGTTCTGTCTTTGTGAGCATTGTGCATCGTGTAGAGTTAGAGGTTTTTCGGCATAAATGCTGCATGGTAGCCACACACTGAAATACTTTACCAGCTTTTCGGTGGATTGTCATGAACTTTTCGACACAACTTTCCAGAGAAAATGATGTTTCCCCACCAGCACCATGAGGGGGACATTTGTAGTTTTAACAAACATGTTGCGAAAGAAATGTACTGTGGTGACCTCTAAACAGTATAATCAGTGCTAATGAGCTATTGTTAAACATCAGCATGTTAGCATTGTTACTGTGAGCATTTCAACATGCTAAAGTTTGGCTCTAGCTTAAAAACATTGCACGACCAAAGCCTCACAAGGCATAACTGCACACTTTGATTTGTACATGAAAGGTGTAGCAAAATGAATAGTTGCAGTCCATCCACTATACTACATTATACCAGGTTACACTGAGGATGCTACATTTTGTCAACTGGCTATGAGACAAAAAACATATTTGTATTACACGAATCACACATGCAATGTAAACTGAGCTTGAGGTAGCAGGAGAATTTCTTAGATATTGAGGTCTTTTCACCTTCAGTCTGCTACAGTGAAAATTTAAAAACTGAATATCGTCCTCACACCAGCAGGAGGATAACAGATATTAAAGATATTATAATTACAGTTGCAAGAAGAACGGCCTCTAATTGATGTTTTGTATCGACAGAGCTTTAAAATGTTCTACAAAACACATTGACTTAACCAGTAAACCATCTCCATCACAGGTTTTTTTCAGTGAGTAATTTGAGTCCATAATTTGTGTAGTCTTTCACCTGACTCCTCAGATAACCAAACTTCTCTTTGTTAAATGATAGATGTGAATTTAATTCGTTGGGGTTCTGAGGTAGCACAATGCCAGACTTCAATCATCAT